TAGAGACTCTAAACAGTAAAACTGACAGTTCTGACTCTAAAATCTGATTGGATGAACAACATTTGAAGCCATTGTAAAAACTGACATATGTACACCTGGACCACATGCTTATAGTTATAGTAGAAATGTGTCAACCATAAATGTTATCTTTGCTTTTCCCCCCCCTTAAGAACAAGGATAATGACATGTTGAAAGACATACTGAAGGCTAGTGTTGAAAAACCTGTGAAAATGCTGGTGTACAGCAGCAAAACCCTGGAGCTGCGGGAAGCTACTGTTACTCCCAGCAACATGTGGGGCGGTCAGGGTCTTCTGGGGGTCAGCATCCGCTTTTGCAGCTTTGAGGGAGCCAATGAGAACGTCTGGCATGTTTTGGTGAGTAAATGAAAGAGTGCTGAATGCAATCAGAGAAAGCTGAATATTTGGTATGGGTGGGGTGGCGTTTGATGAAAATAGCGTGCTTGCTTTGACCTCATTTTGATGAACAACTTCTGGTCAATTAGCCGTAATTCAGCAAAGTGTTCGAAAAGGGCGTGTTCTTGTAAAACAGACCGGTCAGTCGAGCTGTAAGATGAAATGCAAACCTCGCATGAGTTTTTTCATGCATAATTTACCTGTTTTTGTAGGAAGTGGAGCCAAATTCTCCAGCAGCGTTAGCAGGTTTAAGACCACACACGGATTACATCATCGGAGCAGACACAGTCATGAACGAGGTTCGTTTCTCTCTTCATTTCCTACTCTTTTCAGATGTCTTGATCAGTGTGTACAGACATACGGAAATGCACTAGAATTCTAGAGTACATGTGGTTTTTTGGTTTTGGATAAATTGTCAAAGAATGTCACTCTCTGCAGCTCAAATATAGATTAAAATTATGGTTTGCAGACAAACGCTGGTTTTTTAGACTCCACAGAAAATAGCTGAAATGACCAAAAATTGTTGTGGTCATTATCCATTAATAATATAAAAAGACTATTTTTAATTTTTAGCAGTGAAATTTTATATTGGAAACATTTGTATTTTTTAATAAATGTTATGTTCACTTTACAAATTCCCTTTCAAAAAAAAAGAAGAAAAGTAAATGAAATAAGCTGTGAATTACACAGCTAAAATCTGATTCCAAAAATGAATGAGCACAAATTTTCTTGAAAACGATGGCGTACAATGCCAAAATAATTGCTTTGTAGTTTAACACAATTCTGGTGTTGGAAACAGCAGTACTTATCATTAACTTAAACTATTAAAATAATTTGTGAAAATTTTTGCCGTGGCAACTAACTGAAATAAGTTTAAAATAGAAAAGTCTAAAATGACTACAACTTCAAATAAAATAAAAGATGTAAAAATCTAATAAAAATGACAAAATTACTGAAACTTAAAGGGGTCATATGATGCAATTTCAAGTTTTCCTCTCTCTTTGGAGTGTTACAAGCTG